ACCACCGCCATCTTCATTACCACCATCATCACCACCACCATCCTCGTCCACGTCACTACCATCACCATCACCACCACCACCATCACATCACATCACCATCTCCACCATCATCCTCCTCCCCCTCCTCCTCCCCCTCCCCCTCCCCATCCCCCTCCCCCTTCCCCTCACCCTCACCCCCCCTCCCCCTCCTCCTTCCCCCTCCTCCCCCCTCTCCTCCTCCCCCTCCTCCTCCTCCTCCTCCTCCTCCTCCTCCTCACTCCTCGCCTCCTCCACATCCTCATCATCATCATCATCATCATCATATCATCATCACATCATCATCATCATCATCATCATCATCATCATCACCATCATCATCAGAATCTGCATCCTCACCATCATCATGATAATCATCACCATCATCAGCACAAGCACCATCGACATCACATCTCCAACACCACCGCCATCTGCAGTACCACCATCATCACCACCACCACCCTCGTCCACGTCACTACCATCACCATCACCAACAGCATCGTGGTTGTCGCCGCAGCCGCCTTCGCCGTCGTCATCGTCATCGCCATCATCATCGTCACAGGTACCATAGTCATCATCATCATCATCATCATCATCATCATCATCATCATCATCATCATCATCATCATCATCATCATCATCATCACCATCATCATCGTAATCGTTATCACCATCATCATCATCATCATCATCATCATCATCATCAATAACATCATCATCATCAGCATCATCATAATCATCATCGTTATCGTCATCGTTATCATCATCATCATCACCATCATCATCATCAGCATCATCATCATCATCATCATCATTATCATCATCATCAGCAGCAGCATAATCATCATCAGCATCATCATCATCATCATCCTCATTCTCGTCATCATCAGCATCATCATTAACAGCATCGTCATCATCATGATCATTACCATCCGCATGATCATCCTCATCAGCATTAATATCATATCGTCCCAACGATCGTATTCATGGTCACTATCATCATCAGCAAACTAATCGTCATCATCAGCACAATCATCATCAACAGCAGTAGAATCAAGAACATCATAATCAGCAACATCACCAACATCATCGTCATCATCACCATCATCATCATCATCAGCATCATCAGCATCATCATCGGGTAGTCGTCGTCATCGTCATCAACCACAACATCGTCAACAACAGCATCAGCATCATAATTGTCATGATCACGATCACCATCCTCATCAGAAGCATCATCATCACCGCCATCACTACCACCACCGCTACCACCACCACCGCCACCATCACAGTAACAATCATCATCATTACCATCGGCATCATCATAGTCGTCATCATCACCATCAGCATCCACATCGTCATCATCATGATCAGCAGCAGCATCAGCATCATCATCAGCAGTAGCAGCATCAACGACAACAGCACATAAATCATCAACAGCATCATCAACAGCAAGGGCATCATCATCAACAACATCATGATCATGATCATGATCATGATCATGATCATCATCATCATCATCATCACCATCACCATCATCATCATCATCATCATCATCATCATCATCATCGGAATCATCGTCATCAGCAGCAGCATCATCAACATCAGCATCATCATAATCAGATTCATAATAAACAGCATCGTCATTATCGTCATCATCAGCAATCATCATCATCATCGTCATCGTCATCATCATCATCAGCAGCCACAGCATCAGCCTTGATCATCATCGTCATCATCAGCATCACCATCACCACCACCATCACCATCATCAGCATCATAATCATCACCAGCAGCACCATTATAATCACCATCATCACCATCATCATCAGCAGCAGCCGCATCCATCACCGATGTGGCTCAAGGCTGGTATTCCGCCATTTGGCTTCCGGGGGAACCTTTACGGCGCGCTCGGGTCCCCGGGCGCGCGCATCCATATCGTGGACAATCATGGGCGGCCGCGGGAGCAGGCCAAAGTCATCGTCGTCCGGCACGACGCCGCGTGCGCCAGCGTGGGCACTGAGGCGATGGCGCTGGAGCTCGTGCGGTCGCTGCGGCACTACGGCGTCGAGCGGCAGCGGGGGCGCGGCAGCTGACGCGGCCCCCCTCGGAGGCCGATGCGTTGAGGCTGCCGAGCGCCGCGGCGCAGCGCCGCGGCGGAGCTCCTCGTGGCCCTGGAGGGGCCCGCCCTCGCCAAAAGTCTTACGGGAGCGGCTCCGAGCGCCTACGGCGCCGTCGGGCAGACGTCGGCGGCCGCGACTGGCGCGTGGCGGCCCAGCTTGGGAAGGTTCCTCAGCGCGGAACTGGACTCCCAGGCGCGCTTCGTTGGGACGGACGCGGACGTGGCGGCGGCCCTCATCAAGAGCGAGAATACAGGGCACAGCAGAGGAGCCTGCGAGCGACTACGACAACGAACTCGTGCGCGCGCCGTCCCAGCGCGACGAGGACGAGGAGACCCCCGCGCGTCTCCGGGGGTGTCCGCGAGGCCGCGCACGACAACGAGGGCGCGGGCGAGGCGCGTGCCAGGCAGCACTCGCTGCGCCCTGGCCAGCCGCGCGCGCCGAGCACCGCGCGCACGCCGCGGCGGTGCCTCAGGCCTCGGCGGCGCGCGGAGCCGCAGCGCAGGCCTGCCTGCCACGAGCACGCGCTGGCGGGCGGCCACGGCGCGGAGCAGCCGGTGCCCGTCGGGCACCGCGGCGCGGGCGGCGCAGGGCACCGCGCGGCGGAGCGGCGCACGGCGCCTGGCGGAGCGGCGCACTGCGCGGCGGAGCGCCGTGCCGAGGGCGCCGCGGCGCACTGCGCGACGGAGCGGGGCCTCGGCGCCAGGCTCGGCGCAGGCTCGGCGAAGGCCCAGGCTGCCGCGCGGAGCACGGCGGGGAGCCGGCTGGCGGCGGCAAGCGCGACGGCTACGACCAGCTGCCCGGCGGCGCGGACGACCTCGAAGGGGGCCCGCTGCGGCGAGGCGGAGAGCGGGAGCGAGAGCGCGGAGGAGGGCAGCGCGCTCGGCAGGGGCCTGCTTGACGCGATCGAGAAGCAGCAGGGCGGCGAGGCCCAGGGAGCCGAGCTCGCCGAGATGCGCGCCAACGAGGTTGGCGCTGCCCATCGGGCAGCCGAGAACGGCCCTGAAGGACCCGGAGGCCCCGAGGAGCGCCGGGGACACAGATAGGGGAACAAAAGATCACATAAACATAAAAACTCTGAGGTCCGCGCGGATTTCTCGGATCGGCGCTGGGGACCCCCAGCGGCGCCTCCGGCGCCGCCACTGGCGCGCTCCGCGCGCCAGGGAGGGGAGTCCAGCGCCGATCCGAGAAATCCGCGCGGACCTCCGAAATTTTATGTTTATGTCACTTCTTGTTCCCCTCACAGAGGTCCCTCCTGGCCCCCAGGCAGGGCGAGGTGCACGCCATCGAGGGCCGCATCGCTGAGCCGGGCCCAGGCGCCATCCCGGGCAAGCTCCCCGGCGAGGCCCCAAAGGTCGCTCGCCATCGCTCGGACGTTCATTCCCTGTGTTTTCTGTCGGTTTCGTGCGTGGCCTCTTCGCCAGATGATCGAGGATGCTCCTCGAGGGTCCTCGCCGAAGAAAAATGCACACGTCCGAGCGATGCCGAGGTCGGCGACCCGAGACTCCCGGTGGCGGCCGCGAGGCCAGGGCTGCTCGCCGAGCTCCGAGCCGAGCGCAGGCCCTGGGCTGCGGCAGCGCGGCGGCCCCCGACGACAGGTTGGCCACCTGGCTCGGGGCGAGCCTGTCGGGCCTTCGTTGAGCGAGCGCTCGGGCGAGGAGGGGGACGGGGAGGAGGGGGGGGTGCGGGAGGGGGAGGAGGAAATGGGAATGGATCATGGAGCTTGCTCCCGCGCGTCCCGGGAGAGGGAGGCAGGGCCTGGGACGCCTTGCCACCAGAGACCACCCCAACCCCCCTCCCCACGACTGGGGCCAGGAGGGCCAAGCCGAACAGGGGAGAGGCGTTTCCTGGCCAGCCTCTCTCGAAGGCCTCGCCGAGGGCAATCAAAAACTAAGAGCTCCGAGAAGCGGAGCACTGTCATCCTCCCGATGACCTTGCAGGACGGCACTGGAAACGAACATCTTGGTCGGCACCGATGCCATCGCCTTCCCGAGGCCCACAAACAGCACGTCGCAGCTCGGCACCCATGCGATCGCCATCCAAAGGCCCGCGACGACGTAATCGTCCAACACCCAGCTGGTCGGCACCGATGCAACCCCCTTGCCGAGGTCCGCGATGAAGGACACGATATCTGACATTCACGAGTGCCACCAAAGCATTTTCCTGCCTTCACCATGACGACTTTGCCGAAGTCCTCTGCTTCCCGCCCTTGGTCGCCACTGTCTGCAAGACCCGTACCATCCCCGCCCCGCGCCGCTAGGAGGAGGAGGAGGAGGTGGAGGTGGAGGAGGAGGAGGAGGAGGAGGAGCAGGAGGAGGTGGAGGAGAGGAGAGGGGGAGGGGGAGGGAGGGGGAGGGGGAGGAGGAGGAGGAGGAGGAGGAGGAGGAGGAGGAGGAGGAGGAGGAGGAGGAGGACGACGACGACGACGACGACGAGGAGGAGAACTGCCGCCGCCGCCCTGCCCCACGGTCCGAGCATGGGGCGTGGAGGTGTTCCTCTCCCGCGGCCCCAGCGGTGGCACGGCCGTGAGAGGGGCAAGGGCGGGGTCCTGAGTTTCAGGGTGGCGTGCCTCCTCCCGTTCGGCGCGAATGCCATTCACCACTGTGGGCGAGGCGCGGGTTCGTCCCTCCCCGATGGCCGAGGCACCCATGCATCAATGAGGCCAGCGGGTCCTTCCGCGTGGCCCCCTCTGACAGGCGAGACAGTGCCGCCCAGGCACGCTGCTCAGGGTTTTCTCGTGGCCTGTTGCCCGAGTCTGCGGCAATGGGCTGCCTCCTCCTCCGTCCCGCAGTGAATTGGCTTGGGTTTCATACTGATGTCCGCATGCGGCCGAAGTGGCAAGCGAGGTGGTACACGTTGAGGCTGCCAGTGATGCAACGGTCTACAGAAGTTTCAGCCTCCACCACCTTATAATCAAAGTGACTCCCGCTCCCCGCGCATCCTGCCGCAACTGAAGCCCCGCCGCCCGTCATAGGATTATCGTAGTCGCAAGTCCTGCGGGCGGTATCATCACAATCGTCAAAAACATCATAATCAGAGTCGGAAACATTAGCACAATCATAATCATCATCGTCAGCAGCATCATCATCATCACCACCACCACCACCACCACCACCATCATCATCATCATCAGCAGCAGCAGCATCATCATCGTCAGCAGCAGCAGCATCATCATAATCATCATCATCATCATCATCATCAGCAGCAGCATCATCATCATCCTCATCAGCATCATCATCACCATCATCAGTATCATCAACCAGTATCATTATCAGCATCATCAGCATCAGCAGCAGCATCATCATCATCACCACCAGCATCAGCATCAGCATCAGCATCATCATCATGTTCATCAACTGTATCATCATCATCATCATCAGCATCATCAGCATCATCATCAGCAGCATCATCAGCATCATCATCCTGATTCTCCTCATCGTCATCATCATCACCATCATCACCATCACTATCGCCATCAGCATCGTCATCATCAGCATCGTCATCAGCATTATTATAATCATCATCGTCATCATCATCATCATCATCATCATCATCGTCATCATCATCATCATCATCATCATCATCATCATCATCGCAATCATCATGATCATCACCATCGTCATCATTATCATCATCACAGTCGTCATCAGCAGCAGCACCAGCGGAATCGTCATCGTCTTCATCATCAGCAGCATCAGCATCAGCATCACAATCATCACCATTACCATCACAATCACCATCTCCGTCGTCATCATCATCCTCATCCTCATCCTCATCTTCATCATCATGCTCATCACCAACATCAAACATCATCACCACCATCATCATCATCATCAGCATCGTCATCACCATCGCCATCATCATCGCCATCGTCATAATCAAAATCGTCACCATCATCGTCACAATCAGCATCATCATTGTCACGATCAGCATGGTCATCATCATCAACATCATCATTATCATTATAGCCACCATAATCAAAAATCATCATCAGTAGCATCAGCATCATGAGCATCATCACTACCACTGTCATCACCATCACGACCAACAGAATCATCATCAGCATCGCAATCATCATCATCGTCATCATCGTCATCGTCACCGTCAGCATCGTCGTCATCGGCATCGCCATCATCACCACCAGCATCATCATCATCGTCACCATCATCATCGTCGTCGTCACCACCAGACCCGTCATACCTACTCATCATCACAGGCATCGACGTCGTCATCACTGACATCATTATCATCATCATCATCATCATCATCATCATCATCATCATCATCATCGTCATCATCATCACCATCGCCACAAATATCATCAGCATCGTCACCATCCCCACCAGAATCACAATCGTCATCATCTTAATCATCATCATCATCATCATCATCATCATCATCATCATCATCATCATTTTCATTATCATCATCATCATCATCATCATCCTCATCATCATCATCATCATCATCGTCATCATCATTGTCGTGGTTGTCGTCAGCATTGTAGTCACCGTCACCAGCATCGTCAGCATCACCACTATCATCATCATCAACATCATCATAATCATCATCACTATCATCATCATCAACATCATCATAATCATCATCATCATCAGCATCATCGTCGTCGTCGTCATCAGCATCATCGGCGTCACTATCAAGCTCGCCATACAGACTCAGAATCATGGACATCGTATTCTTAATCCCTGCCAGTATGATCATCATCATCATCATCATCATCATCATCATCATCATCATCATCATCATCGTTTACCCGATCATCAACAACATCATCAACACCATCATCATCATCATCATCATCATCATCAACATCATCAATATCATCATCATCACCATCATTACCATCATAAGCATCATCGTCGTCGTCATCGTCGTCGTCAACGCCGTCGTTGTCAACATCTTCGTCGTCATCATCATTATCATCATCATCATCTTCGTCGTCATCATCGTGATCGTCGTCATCATCATCTCAGTGCTCAATCTCATCATCGTCATGATCATCATCATCATTAGCAGCAGTATCATCATCACGTACACCACCACGGCCATCATCATCACCACCACCACCACCGCCACCACCATCAGCATCGTCATCAGCAGCATCGTCAGCATCACTGTCCTCACCATCACCATAACCATCACCATCATCGTCATAATCATCATCAGCAGCAGCACCATCCTTACGTACACAACCACGGCCATCATAATCACCACCACCACCACCACCGCCACCACCATCAGTATCGTCATCAGCATCATCATGAGCATCACTGTCATCACCATCACCATCACCATCACCATCACCATCACCATCATCATCATCATCATCATCATCATCATCATCATCATCATCGTCATCGTCATCGCCATCATCGTCGTCATCATCGTCATCGTCATCTCCTCATCGTGATTTTATCATCCTGGCGACTTAGCAGAAGCTCCCGATACCTCATCATCTTCCTTCTGCAGCAACTTAGCTTCCCTGGCGATCACTCCTCCTCCTCTTCCTATTTCTCCTCTTCCCCATCCTTTTCCTCCTGCTCCTCCCCACCACCACCACCACCACCACCATCATCATCATCATCATCACCATCATCACTATCATCACCATCGTCATCGTCATCATCATCAAATTCACTATCATTATCATCATCATCATCAACATCGTTATCGTCATCATCATCAACATCATCAACATCATCATCAACAACCATCATCATCATCACAAACATCATCATCCTTATCGTAATGTTCATCCTCGTCATCACCACCATCATCATCATCATCATCATCATCATCATCATCATCATCATCATCGGCATCATCATGATCGTCAGCATTATCATCATTACCATCATCATCATCATCATCATCATCATCATCATCATCATCATCATCATCATCATCATCATCATCATCATCCTTGCGGCGGCGCGCCAGCAGGAGC